AGACAGAGAGTGTGTGTGCTATTCTTAGAGTCCTACTAATATGAGGCAGCTATGAACTGATAATGAGTGCTGATGGGTCCAGGCAAAAGATGATGGGAAATGGAGTCCTGAGTGAATGGCAAGGTACAGAATGGAGTGCACTCCAGCTGGAGATCGTGACAGTGTTTACTTAGAAACAAATCCAGTTCTGTGGAAATCAGTCTATATTTCTGGTCTTAGGCCTGTCAATCATAGTTACAAAGGGGCAAATTTGTATGGTGCTAGAATGAGCAAGTTAATCACATGCATGAGGAAACCAACTTTCATTAAAACATTGTTCTGTGATTACATTTCACAAGAACAATACCGTAAATGCTAGAATGCATCACACCATTTTTACCCCGATTTTCAGTCTTTAGCTTCAGGTTATGAATAAATATAAAATTAAATCAAATATGTTTTATATTCTAAAGCCCCGTTCACACCAAGAACGATAACTATAAAGATAGCTATAAAGATAACGATATTAGCGTCCACATCAGCAAACGATATCGTCTGTTTATTCTAAGCTCACATGCGTCTGCCGCTTTAAATTCTGGAGCTTGTTACAGCAGGATGGATTCTGATTGGCTGTCAGTGTTTTATCTTTATTGTTATCTTTATAGTTATCGTTCTTGGTGTGAACGGGGCTTAAAGGTGATTTTGGAACATATTCTTTTCATTTCTAACGCGCGTGTCTCTTAGCAACGAGGCGAGTGTTTCTGCACAGCTTGAGTCTAGTTTGTGGTCCTCAGTGGTTTATGATGCACAGTTTTTCTAACCATTTACCAAGTCGACAAGTGTATAATGCCTTAATGTTTTAAAATCTGTTCAGCCTTTGCGTTTACAAACAAAAACCTCTAGATAGATAAATATATTATTACTGAGTTGTAGCCTAGTCTGCATTGTCCTCAGCAACGAAAATAGCCAAATGACTGCAATATTCCGATTACTCTGGTATGGCCACACCAATAGCTCTTGCTAAAAAAGTGATTTAAAGTAAGATTAAGTGAACATGTTTTTCTAACCATTTACCAAGTCGACAAGTGTATAATGCCTTAATGTTTTAAAATCTGTTGAGCCTTTGCGTTTACAAACAAAAACCTCTAGATAGATAAATATATTATTACTGAGTTGTAGCCTAGTCTGCATTGTCCTCAGCAACGAAAATAGCCAAATGACTGCAATATTCCGATTACTCTGGTATGGCCACACCAATAGCTCTTGCTAAAAAAGTGATTTAAAGTAAGATTAAGTGAACATGTTACAAAGTGTCTATTATTCGTCTTATAATATTCAGATTTCAGACCTTCCATCAGATTCTTGATAAACAGCGTTCTCTGCTCTGTTTCAGCTTTGTTTGGGGCGACATCTAGTGGCTAAGTACACAACTAGCCTACATGCAATCCTCTCCAAATAAATACAGTAGACATTTTGATTTCTTTACACTTTCATCAGATTAAGTTGTGCGTTATTACAGATAACTGTATGTAGCTCAGTGAGTTTGCCTGTGCCTGTTTTCTTTTTGCAAAGCAGTTTGTCCTGGGTTCAATTCTGGGCAATATTCACATACTTTCATTGTCATCTTACTATTGTGCTTGTTGGCCTAAACAACAACAAACAGTTGGTTTGAGTTTCACAACTTTTTAAGAAAAATCTTAAAAAAGAGAGATAAAACACTTCATGCAGACATGAATGGATCCAGATCTGTGTGTGGTAACCAGGTCCTGTCTGCGTGTTATTGCTAGTTGATATTCATGGCAGGATTCATACGTCTGGCCTATGTTATCCCCAAAGTCTATTTGAAAACCCTCTACCAGAAGTTTCTGTTCAATTGTAAGTGTTTTGGAAAAAACAGGGGGCACCCGGATTTGAACCGGGGACCTCTTGATCTGCAGTCAAATGCTCTACCACTGAGCTATACCCCCAGCTGCAGCAACTCAGCACAGGTGATGCTTTCCCAGGTTAGTCACTCAGGCCTGACGTGTTTATAATGGGTGTGTATACAGGTGTGAGTGTGTGTTTTGTGTTTGTTCTGAGCCTCCTGCTGCAATACCCAGAAATGACTGTAATAATCAGGATTTTGTTTTGTTTCTTTCAATGTGGTTGAGTCCACAAAATATGAAAATCTGTTAAACAATGATATAATGCCGTAGTGTTGCTTTAGTAAATCTTTACTAAAAATAAAGAAATTAATAATAAAGAAATTTACAAAAACTATCAAATAAATAAATTGCCACCAATAATGCCCAAGAAATGTAAATGTAAATTGTAACCTAACAACAAAATCTGTTAAACAAATGCTACATCCAAAAAACAAACAAACATAAGTTTATGTAAGGCCTGGTTTTTTTACTGTGCAGTTAATAGCCTGTATAAATTTAGAACAATTAAATCACATGGCAATTGTCCCTATAAAATTTTGTGACATTTATGAAAAATACCGATGTCCTGAAATAAATATCTGTACACAGTTAATATCTACCTTCATTACACAATTGACATGTACAGTCAGGTCCGGAAGTACTGGGACACTGACTGAGTTTTTATGCTTTTGTCTTTATACACCAGTACAATGGATTTGAAATAAAACAATCAAGATTTGATTGAAGTGCAGACTTTAAGCTTTAATTCAAGGGGTTGTGTACAAAAATGTAACATTAGGAATTACAACCATTTTTATACACAGCATATATAAAGGGGCTCAAATGTAATTGGACAAATAATTGTAATCATAAATAAAATGTTCATTTTTATTAACATTTTATTTATAAAATATATAATGTTCATTGTTCATATTTTGTTGAGAATCCTTTGCAGGCAAAGACTGCCTTAAGTCTGGAACTCATGGACATCACCAGAGACTGGGTTTCCGCCTTTGGGATTCTTTGCCAGGCCTTTACTGCAGCTGACTTCAGTTGTTGTTTGTTTGGGGGTCTTTCTGCCTTTAGTTTTGTCTTCAGAAAGTGAAATGCATGCTCAATCGGTTTGAGTTTAGGAGATTGACTTGGTCATTGCAGAATATTCAACTTTTTTACCTTCAAAAACTCCTGGGTTGCTTTTGCTGTATGCTTTAGGTCATCGTCCATTTGTACTATGAAGCGCCACCCAATCGACTTTGCTGCATTTGGCTGAATCTGGGCAGATATATCCCTATACACTTCAGAATTCATCCGGCTGCTTCTGTCTTCTGTCACGTCATCACTAAACACCAGTAACCCAGTGCCACTGGAAGCCATGCATGCTCATGCCATCACACCGCTCCACCATGTTTCACAGATGATGTATGCTTTGGATCATGAGCTGTTCCAAGCCTTCTCCATACTTTTTTTCTTCTCGTCATTCTGGTACAAGTTGATATTGATTTCATCTATCCAAAGAATGCTTTTCCAGAAGTGGTCTGGCTTTTT